CCTCCTCTTATCGTGGCTTCCTGTAAGCTAAAGAGAACATGTCAGGCTTGTTCTGAGCAGGGCTGCAGTTACTAGCTTATGGGGTCGGTGGGCTGGGTAACACTACTCTGCTGGCTGGGAGGACTGGCCCTGCATCTTACCCCCAAGTCAGGCAAGCAGCATGGGTGTATGCGGCCTCCCACAGCACCGGGCTCTTTCTTGGTTCCAGGGAACTGTGGAGACAGGTCTGCTTTTCCATGTGAGGTTAAAACAAGACTCATTATTAAATCTATATCTTCTAGGTGATAAAGGAAAATGTACAAGTTTGATTGAAAAACGTAAGAAATGCCCTAAAACGGGCAAACCTGCTGCAAAGCTCCGCCGTTTCTACCACGTTGAGTATTTTCTTCTGCCGCATGATGGAGAGCCTAAAAAAGTTGACATTGTGCTGTTTCCAGCGGTGGCCAAAGTGTTCCTGGATTCAGAAGTAAAGGTGTGTGTGTGTGTAGCCTTGCATATAGCATAGAGTCTAATAGTCAGTCTATGAAGTGTGTTTGCTTCCCCTGGAGCTTGATAGAAATGCAGGCTCTTGGGCCCCACCCCCGACCTACTAAATGAGAATCTGCACTGACCTAATAATACCAGTTACATGACTTTCGATTTATTTTTACCTAGTAATTTCTTTGGTGTTTCAAAAGATTTTGGAGCTCTTGTGATGTCTTTGTGTGAGTGCACGTGTGTGCACACCCCTCTACCCACATGCATGCATGTCCTTGCCTGTGGCCTGGCTCTGGATCGGTGCTTGGAAGTCATTGGAAGGCACACTATCTGCAGGTAATTACTTTGATTCTGTTTTCACCGAGGAGCCCAGAGGTGTGATGGGCCCGGTCCATGACACCCATTTCCTGATGTGAGCTGGGAGCTGGGAGAGAGACAGGCACAGAAGTCAGCAGGTGGAGAGCAGGGCCTGGCTTCCTTGCCAGTAAGGGCGAGGCTGGTGGCAGCGGTTCAACTCACACTGCTGATCCTCCTCGCCTTCCACACTGAACGTCTCTTGATGTCGTTCTTTTACACAGACCGTGAGGCCGTGGCATGAAGGAGACAAAGTCTGGGTGTCATGGATCCAAACTTTTAACATTAACATGACAAAGGAGTTACTAAAGAAAACAAATTTTCACAGAATAACTTTGAGGCTCTGGGACACTAAGGAGAAGATTTTGAAAAAAGTTAGGAAGTATTGATCAGAGACGTTTGGGTTTTTGGAAGATGCAGGAGCTCTTGGTAAGTCAGGTATTCGTGTTTTATTTGAAATGTCTCTGGAGGCTCGTGGCTTCTCTTCAGTAACGGGATAAAAGCCAGCGTCCCCTCGTTTCCTTCATCTGAGTTTCCCGAGCACACATTGGTTTCCGTGTCAGTGACCCATCATCCCTCCAGGATGTGCACGGGTGTTAGGACGTGCCACGCGGTGGAGTTGTGGCTGAGAGTGAGCAGGGTTGTGTGCGTGCACAGTGGCCGTCACCTCCTCCTCTGCCACCTTTTGGGACCTCCTGTCCCTGGGCAGCGCCAGTGTGAGCACCCACCACTGGCCTGTCTCCCTGGACAAGTATTGTGTATTCACTGAAAAAAATGAGAGGAAACAAAGGGAAACTGCAAAACCCCACCATCCTGAGACAACCATGTTAATATTTTCTTATAGACCCTCTAGATTCTTACTTGTGTAAAAATTTTATCAGTGCCAGAAGTCTCCTTTTGAACTCCCAAGGAGAGAGCTGGGAGGAGTGGAAAGACCCAGGCTTTGAAGCTAGACAGCTGAATTCAATCCCGTGTCCATCTTGAACTAGCTGGTGACCTCACGGTCCTGCCTCCTCTGGTCATCTGCCCCCGAGGCAGGGTGATGGGCGCCGTCCCCCCAGGCATAAGCAATGAGGAGGATGTGCCCTGTCTGTAGAGAATTTAAAAACTGTAATAAAATGCTGCCAATTAAACTATGCCACGGTGTTAATCGTAAGATTCATCCCAGCTTTAGAGAAGTTGGGGTAAAAGCCATGCGCATCTTGGAATTGATGGAGTGTGGCGCTCTCATTGCTGTTGCCAGCCGCTTCCAGCAAGTACGGTCATCCCCATCTTACAGTGAGGATGTCGCTTGCTTGAGGTGAGTGCCAGTGCCAGAGTCAGAGCCCAGTCTTCTGTGACTGGGAAACCTCTGCTTTCTCCGGTTTTCCAGCCTGTCTTCTCCAGGAGCCTTTCTGAATTGGGGGCTTGGGGCTTCCGATTTTCACTCTTTCATGTATATCCAGGGTTTCTTACCCCGGGCACCACTGGCATTTTGGTTCAGACCATTCCTTGTTGTGGGGGGCTGTCCTGTGCTCTGTAGGATGTTTAGCAGCACCCCTGACCTCTACCCACTAGACGCCAGTGGTAGGCTCCCAGCTGCGACCGGTCAACAGTTTCTGCAGATGCTGACAAGTGTCCCCTGGGGCTGGGGGAGGCAGGTAGCAAAAATCGCCCCAGGCTGAGAATCACTGGTTTATATCTAAACTACTCATTGAAGGGTTCCTGTGTGGGAAAGTGGGATTTAAGGTGACTTTTCTTACTTGGACCAAAGGAAAGACCCATGTCCTCAAAGTGTGGGCTCTAAACCACCTGCATCAGATGCACTTGGAGTGCCGCCTAAGTGCAGATTCCAGGGCCTGCCCCAGAGCTGCTGAGCCAGAATTTCTGGTAAACATCTGCCCTGCGATGGGCTCACATTGGAGCAGTGGTGCTGGGGTGGGTGTATCAGGAAGGCTTCCTGGGGGAGGGCAACGGGATCCAAGTTTGGAAGGGTAAATGGAACCAGCCGGCCAGACCAGGAAGGAGGAAGGGTGTTCTAGGCCCTGCAGGGAGGGCCCGTGGGCCTTTTGCTGTGAGTGTCCTTGAAATGACAGCACCTGCTCTTCCTCGAGCCCCATCCCAAGCCTGGCGTCGCTGGCTCTCATGTTAAATCATCTTCTTCCATTAGTAAAAGCAGGGTATGTTCACTTTGTAAAACAGTTTAGAAATAGACTAGCACAAGGGAGAAAAAAATCAAAATCACATGATGCCTGACCAGAGACAGTCATTGCTAACATTTCCCTGTGCATTTTATATGTGGATACATAATTTTAATAAACACGAGTCTAGGGGCCCGCCCCATGGCTTAGCGGTTAAGTGCACGCACTCAGCTGCTGGCGGCCCGGGTTCGGATCCCAGGCGCTCACCGACGCACGGCTTCTCTGGCCATGCTGAGGCTGCGTCCCACATACAGCAACAAGAAGGATGTGCAGCTATGACATACAACTATCTACTGGGACTTTGGGGGGAAAAAATAAAATAAAATGCTGTATATAAAACTACTTGAATAAACTGACTTATATTTAAAAAAAAAACAAAATAAAAACAAGTCTAGTGTGCATGTTGTCTTAAGTCCTGCCTTTTTCATCTAGAAAGATATCTTCTTGCAACTCTTGTTTCTTGGGAGTGCAAAAACACCATCAGAGGTTTGTTTCATGTTACAAGGGGATAGGAGATTTATAGGGCTGCACCGTAGGTCATGGGCTGGAACCTGTTAGCTTTCAGCCTGCTCGTCTTACATGGAACATCCCAATCAAGAGTTAGCATTTCTCTTCTATTGAATCTGCTCAGCCTCTTGGCTTCTCAGGATCGGACAAAGACTGCCTCATTCTTGAAGCCTCCCACGTCGCAGTTGACTCCCGCCCTGCCCTCCACTCTTGGCCATCCCCCCACCCAACACCTAGTTGGTGTCTCTGCCTGTGTGTCGCTCTCTGGAGCTCTCTATCCCTCAGCTGGCTCCTCTCTCTGCACCCAGGTTTTCTCCTGTCTCTTCTGTCCTACCATTGCTCCTTGACCTTTCTATATTACCCCTTTGACCTTGGCACTTCATTGCTCTGCAACTTTTCATGGCTGCCCAGTGCCTTAGGGAACCGAGTCTGACTTCTGAGTCCTGCCTTGAAGCCATCTTATAATCTGTTCCCCAAGGCTTCTTTCTCATTGCCACCCCCACCTTCACACCTGGTCCACCCCCTGGTCCTTGAAGATGCTAGAGTTTTCCTCATTGTAGGGCCTGCCTTTAGGCGTTTGGGGGGCTCTTAGCCTCATCTCTTTCTCCAAAATTTATCTATCCTTGGACACTGAATCCAATTCCACCTTTTTTTCGCGCGTCCTTCTTGTAGCTTCTGTAATCTCTATTCATTCACTCACTACCTCTGCTCGTTCCTTATTCCATACACGTTGATTGCTGCCATGTGCGTGCAAAGCTGCATATTGATAGGAGTGAAAGACATGGAGGGGTCATCTCCCTAGCTGGGGACAAGGAGCTCTGGGTGTGGTCCTGGCTTAAGGACCAGCTCTCTGACCACAGGAAAGTTAGCATCTGATTGGTAATGGCTTCCTTAAAGTCAAGTGTGATTGAACAGAAGGACATATGTCAAGTACTTAGTGGTTTTATTTGGAAGAAGCCATTTCCAGTTGAGGTTTGAGTTTCCTGGTATTTTGAAGCAGCCCCCTCGGCAACAACTCCGGGAGGACAGGGGCCTTGCCTATCTAATCCATCTCCAGCACCAGGAGAGTGATTGTCGCATAGTAGGTATTCAGTAAGTACTTCTGTTTGATTGACTCAATAATTCTTTCTTCTCCTGCATTCTAGAGGAAGTGAGAGATGTTGTTCCAAGGCAGAGGAGGTCATTTGAACAGGGCAGGCACAACAAAGAGGAGTGGAACCAGGAGTATGCACCAGGAAACCCAGAAAAAGCAGGAAAATGCTTAAAGTCTTTGCATGGTGAGTGGAGACAACCTTTGGGGACAAGCTGAGTGCAAGTCTGGGTCGGGAAGTGATGGATGCTGTTGCCGGTGTAGTGCGTGTGCACTGGCATCCTTCATGGGCATCTTGGCTTTATCTCGCTTTACAAGCAGCCTGCGTTTGTGGAGATATTCTTCCTGGGGAGAAGTTAAAGCCCTACAGGGTGTGAGAGTAGCCTGCAGCCCAACGCTCAGCAGACACAGCTGGGGGCACCATGCAGCGCGGCCCACTTGCCAGGAACTGAACCATCCTGTGGGAGGTGGCATTTCTTCCTCCACTGTCCAGATGAGGAAACTGAGGCTCGAGAGAGACGGTGTACCATCTCCAATAATCCCTGGCCAGGAAAAGACAGCAAAGCACTTGCTGTTGACCCCATTTCAAGGTGCCCCACCCACGTCACTTTCTAGTACTTTGTTTTATACCACTTGCCACTTTCTCAAATTATCCTGTCTCAGGCCTGTCACCCTCACTAGAGCAGGGACCCTGTCTACCTCACTGCTGCACAGGGCCTGGCACATAGTAGGCCCTCAATAAATCTTTGTTGGCTGAACAAGGTGGGATTCCCTCTCAGGTCCAGCTCAGTGCACTTGTGTCTCCCGTCACAGCACCGACCCTCCCGGGTCCCGACTCAAAGTGTCTGTGCCCCGGCACCCTTGGGCTGACAGGTAGAACAGCAAGGGCCCCCCCAGGGGTTGTGACACCTTTGAAAAGCCTGGTGGAGAGCCTTCTGTGACCTTTGCAAGGCTCACAGAATTTTATTCACATGGTTATTTGCTTGTCCAACCTTGGGGATCCTGAAACGTTCTCCTTGTCAGTCACGGGTTGACAGCTGCCCTAGACATTTCCTCCTGAGATGGGGCTCACAACCTCAAACCAGACCCTGCTCCCTAATGGCCATTCTCTGAGGGGACCAGAAGAAGGGGGACGTTATGGCCACATCAGGTAGGGTGTAGCAGAGGGACTTGCCTCTTCAGATGGCCGCCGGCCACCTGGCCCACACCACCATCTTCTTCTCCTGTCTGGTCCCCTGCTTCCTCTGCCCTGCCACCTCCCCCTTCCTCCCCAAGCTCAACCCAGTCCTTCCTTCACTTAGAGGCGGTCCGAGTAGCCTTTACAAGGTGAACCAGAGCTGTCACTCCCCCACGAGGCCCCGCAGCACCCAGGCCCCGCAGACCTCTTCGACTTTATCACCCGGCGCTCCTGCCCTCCCTGTGGCCGCCTCTCTCTGTCAGGCACACCCTGCGCTGACACACCGTGTGCTGGGCTGTGGCGCCAGCTGTCCAGCTGGCCTGAACCCTCTTCCAGGAACCCCCCAACTCTTGATCTCCACAAGTTCCTTCAATCCTGTCATCCTGATTCCTTTTCTCATAAGTTTTCTCTAAGTTATTTTTTATTTACTTGCTTAATATCTGTCCCCCTACCCCAAGACCCTGTCTGTCTTGTGTAGCATTGAATGGTGAGAATCTAGAAACGAATCTAACTCCTGGGCCCTAGGCCCAACTCAGTTTTCTTTGAGAAAAGGAAAAAACCCAACCCAACCAGCACCTCATCTAGAGCCTGACATAAATGGCTCTCAAAAACTGTGTTCCCTTCCTTCACTCCCCTCTAATCAGGTAATATTTCTTGAAAGAGGCGGCCCTTGAGGAATGCTTTGGGACCACTCGGGCCCAACGGGAATCCGTCTTGCTGGCCCATCTGCCCCACCCCCACGTGACATGGAGAAGCTCAGGTCCAGAGGAGAGGCAGGGAGGGCCCCGGTGTGCCAACTGCACTCCAAGTCTAATTCCCAGTCCAGTGCTCTTGCCCCACTGGACCCCTCATCTGTCCAGTTGGCCGGGCGTGGGGAGGGGAGAGCAAGGCCAAAGAGAAGCCACAGGATGGGGACGGGCATTGGGACATGTGCCACCCTTGTCTGGGTGCAGAAGACAACCATTAGAAGGCTGTCCATCCAGGCCGGGGCCCCAGAACCATGCCTCACTGGAAACAGCCAAAGGAGCTGTCTAGCCTCAAAAAGAGTGTCGGGAGAGACTGAGCACCCTCTGACATCTACACTGCATCTGGACCTGCCCATTTTGCACCATCTACTCTCGAACATCGAGAAAGCCTTGAAGTGGGTCTCCCTGTTGCGAGATCTTCACAGAGGCCAGGATTTTCTCAAAGCTTCCATCAAATCCTCCTCACCCCTGCTGAAACACTCGGGTGGCTTCCCATCACATTTAGAATAAAACCCAACTGCCTCCCCACAGCCGAGGTCTGTCGTGGTCCTGGCCCTGCCGCCTGCTCCCCTTCACTGCCTGCCTGTGACGTCCATGCCCTGGACAGCTGAGCCAGGCCCCACGGCAGTGCCTTTGTGCTGTGTTCCCTCTGTTCGCAGACTTTCACAGGCCCAGTCCCTTCTCGCCAATCTTTAGTAAGCCCCTCTCAGAGCAGCCCTCCCTAAACACCCCATCTGAAGTAGGGTTGCCCCCATCTTTCACCAACCCTTTCTCATGTTTTTCTTCATAGCACTTATCACTACTTGGAGTTTTTGCATTTATATCCTAGTCTCCACCCAAATGTCGGCTTGTCTGTCTTCTGTATCACCAAATCCTTTGTACCTGGCACACAGTAGATGCTCAGTAAACGTTTGTTTGGATAAATGAAATATGAAGGGTCCTCATGAAGTACAAAGATTTGGCCTGGTCTTTTCGCTGGGAGTATTAAACTAGGTGTCTGGAGAGCCTGGGGTGAGGACCCAGACGGTACCTCCCCCTGCCTTCCCACCTGATGCCTTAAGATTGTGGATGAGCAGTTCCCCCTAGTTGAGGAATGAGCATTGACAAAGGTGGAGACGACTTGTATCAGTCCACCTCCTGTACCACTGGAAGCTGCCCTGCGCAGTCACAGGCTCTGTGCTGGGCGCCTGCCTTGTACTCCATGCCTGTTTGAAGGGTGGCTTGGAGGGGATGTTGGCAGAACACGCAGGCCAGGTGTGGTCTTAGGGGAAGCCTTGTGTCTGGGGAGCGGGATGGTTCTTGGGAAGGACAAAGTCTTCATCCCTAGAGTTAAACACCACCCATGAGGATGCCACATACTTCAGGTAAGCAACGACCAAGGCCAGCGTCACTCCTCTTGGATCCCTGTGCTACATCTGAAAGATGCGCAGTGCTAGCTCCCTGAGACTCGTGAGCCCTGAAGGGACGGTGCCTTTCTCTACCCCGGAGAGCAGCAGGAGGAGGTTCCCGCCACAGCCACGTTGGGCTGCCTACGCCCAACGCCCTTCCTGAGTGGAGCGAACTACTCCCCCACCCGACGCCTGTAGTTGCCAGGCCATGCCATGCCCTCCTTGGTCCGAGCTCCCGGGCCCACCACCAGCCCCTTGGCTCTCTGCTTCTCCCTACCAGCGCCGGCGGGGGCGCCTTCCCTGGCTTCCCCGTCCCACCCACTCCGCCGCCTCCCAAGAGTCGTATCCAACAGGCCTGTGCTTGGGCCTTTAAAAGGCTTTGGGCCCGCGCCCCGCCCCCGACGTCCCCGCCGCTGAGGCCTGGCCCTGCCCCTCGTCCACATGGAGACCCCCTTCCTGCGCCCGTCCCCCTAGCCGCCGCCCCGCGCCCCCTCCCCACCCTCCAACCGCCCTCCCCGCGCCCGCTTTAGGCGGGCGCCGCGCCCCCGACGTCCCCGCCGCCTGGCCCCGCCCCTCGTCTCCATGGAGACCCGCACGCTTCCCGCGCCCGCCTCCCAACCGCCCTGCAGACCCTCTGACCTTTCTGTCTCTGCAGACGGGCAGGTGGACAGGTTACCAGGCAGTGCAACACATCGCTGGCGTGAGATTCAAAGATGCAGCTGAGAGGAGGACGGAGCTCTCCCCATGAGAAGGTGACTCTTGAGTCAAGATCTGAGTTAATTTGACCCATTTAGCTATGCTGTCATTTTGCATCAACCATGCCAGAATAGCATGTAGAGACGTTTGTCAGGGAGCCAGCTGGGGAAAGCTGACTAACTGCCTGATGCCCGCTGCCAACGGGAGGCTGGCCCAGGCGTGAGGACTGGATACATCCAAAGGCCACTGCATCTCCCAGGGCACCAGCACGGTCTTCCTGAGCCAGCTGCTTACAGAGGGAGCCCCAGTGTATGCGGGTGGTGGGGATTAGTTGGGGAGATGAACAAAGGAGTTCCCTCCCTCTGCTCTTTGATTTGCCATGCTGCCATGGCCCTTGGAGGTGCATCAGCTCTGGTAACAACTCATTCTCATGTGGAGCTAACTATGTGCTAGGACTGTTGCACCCACTTCATGTACAGTAACTCATTGAATCCTCATAACAACTCAAAAGGTATGTGCTATTATTATCATTCCCACTTTACAGATGAGGAAACTGAGGCTTAGAAAGGAGAACTAGCCCAGGGTCACACAGCTGAAAAGCAGTAAAACCTGATGTTCTGACCTCAACTCCATGATAGACAGGTGGATGGCTGGATGGACAGGTACAAGATAATCCACAAGGAATGGAGCAGATAGTCCATGAATGCTCAGCATAGGGAAAGTATCTTCAGACTTGAGAGAGCAGGGGTCGCTTTTGTTACTCTTTTGTTTATATATATATTATGTATATATATTATTTTTATAATGCTAAACATCTTTGTGCTTGCTTTAAAATATAAATACATTAATACCTATACACAATCAGATCAGTTTTCTACCAAGTATGGGTACCTCTTAGGGTACAAACTGTAACATAGGTTAAATAAATCATAGGCATAATCCCTGCTCCACAAAAAGTTTCCTCCCCAAACATCACAGGCTATATGGTCTTGGGAAAAACACTTCAACTCGCTGCAGCTTACATTTCTTGTCTGTACCTGCCCTATAGGCTAGAGCCATTGGTAATTATAGTCATAACCATAAAAGCTGGTATCAACTGCATACCTAATATATGTACTATGCTGAGCACTTTCATGCATTATCTTTTTTTATCTATTGAAATCTAGTATATTTCTTTTTTTATTCAGATATAATTGACATATGTTTTAGACATACAACATAATGATTCAATATTTGCATATATTGTGAAATGATCACCAAGATAAGTCTAGTTAACATCCCTCACCACACATAGTTACAAATTTTTTTCTCATGATGAGAACTTTTAAGATCTACTCTCTAAGCAACATTCAAATATGCAATACAGTATTATTAACTATAGTCACCATACTGTACATTACATCCCCAGGACTTATTTATTTTATAACTGGAAGTTTATACTTTTTGACTCCTTTCACCATTCTGCCCAACTCCCCCTCCTGCCTCTGGCAACCACCCGTCTATTCTATCTATGAATTCACTTTGCTTTTGTTTTTTGTTAAATTCCACATACCGGTGAGATCATATGGTATTTGTCTTTCTCTGTCTGACTTATTTAACTTAGTGTAATGCCCTCAAAGTCCCTCAATATTGTTGCAAATGGTATTCCATTGTGTGTGTGTGTGTGTGATTTCCACATCTTTATCCATTCATCTGTCGATAGACACTTAGGTTGTTTCCATGTCTTGGCTATTGTAAATAATGCTGTAATGAACATGCGGGTGCAGATATCTTTTCAAGTTAGTGTTTTCGTTTCCTGTGAAACGAAATAAATAGCAATAAATACCCAGAAGTGGAATTGTTGGATCATATGGTAGTTCTATTTTTAACTTTTTGAGGAACCACCATACTGTTGTCCATAGTGGCTGCATCAATTTACATTCCCGCCAACGGTGCACAAGGATTCCCTTTTCTCCCCATCCTCTCCAACACTCGTTATTTCTTCTCTTTTTGATAATAGCCATCCTAATGGGTGTGAGATGATATCTCATTGTGGTTTTGATTTGCCTTTCACTGATGATTAGTGATGTTGAGCACCTTTCCACGTACCCACTGGCCACCTGTATGTCTTCTTTCATGCATTTTCTTTTAATCCTCCTAGAGGCAACTGAGGTGTACAGAGGTTATGTAACCTGGCTGAAGTCACACAGACAAGAGGTGACAGAGCTGGGCAGTACAAGTGCCTCAAGGGCAAGAGCCATAGCCTCACTGCTTAAGCTGGTCAGGGCTTGTCGCTGACCAGAGAGGAGTACAGGTTTAATGAGTAAATGCGTGTGTGCAAAGAGATATGCTTGAGCTCTGGCCCCAATAAGAATTCTCCCTCCCCCGAAGTTAAGTCCATGGATGAGTGTGTTAGTCAGCTCAGGCTACCATAACAGAATACCACAGACTGGGGTCTTCAACAACAGAAATTTATTTCCTCACAGTCCTGGAGACTAGAAGCCCAAGATCAGGGTGCCATCAGGGTGGGTTTCTGGTGAAGCCTCTCTTCCTGGCTTGTAGACAGCTGCCTTCTCACTGTGTCCTCACATGGCCTTTCCTCCGTGCACATGCAAAGAGAGAAAGAGAGAACTCTGGTGTCTCTTCCTCTTCTTGGAGGGACACCAGTCCTATCAGATTAGGACCCTACCCTTGTGACCTCATTTAACCTCAGTTACTTCCTAAACACCTCATCTCCGAACATCATCACATTGGGGGTTAGGGCTTCAACATATGGATTTGGAGGGGACACAATTCAGTCTGTAACAGTGAGTTTTGAAGAGTTCTGAGAACCCTTAAAAATTGTAAACAACATTTTGCATGGATGGGAGTCCTCATACACCATCTGTTTGACCTCCCAAAAGGTAAGAACCACTAAAAGTATAAGTGGACAAAGAGGGAAAGGGTTCATGGAAAAATGGAAACAGAACTTGTATTAAGGTGTAGAAGAAAAAGCAATTTCTTATAATATTGTTTTAATAAGTTTTAAAAAGTAGAGAACAAGAGGGACGGTGGAAATGGGGATGTGGTATGTCAGCCCCCACTTTACATTTTGAGAAGTTAGATGGTGGCCTGAGGTCACAGAGTGAGCAGCCAGTCTGACCCTAGAACCCCCGCGTCCTGAGCCCCAGCCCACGCTGTTCTCACCAGGCTTGCTCTCTGTCCTTCTCCATGGAAGCCAGGGCCGTCTGAGCGAGGCTCCTGGGCTGCCCTTCTGCTGACCTCATGGATGCTCTTTCCCTCGCTCTCCTTCCAGAAGTGGAGCAGATCGAGGCCATCGCCAAGTTTGACTACGTGGGGCGGTCCCCCCGTGAGCTGTCCTTCAAGAAGGGGGCCTCACTGCTACTGTACCACTGCATCTCAGAGGACTGGTGGGAGGGTCGTCACAATGGCGTGGATGGACTCATCCCACATCAGTACATAGTCGTACAGGACATGTGAGTGGGAGCCAGGACCTTCTGTGAAGATTGCTGTAATCGATTAGTGATGTCTAGAATGGGCACAGGAAGGGAAGTGCTAAGTTGTATGCCAGTGATTTGCTCTCCCTGATACAGTTGGCCTTGTGGAAGAATGGGTTATATTTAACTTCCCCTGAAGTGGTGATCCACTTAACAAATGAGCAAATTACTCATCCTTCAGAGTACACAGAGACAGCACTTGCTGCCCTTGGCCTGACCCATCTGACAGCCTCCAGGACATTCATCACCCGCCATGGTTCCCAGCGTCCAGTGGATCTTGCCATATACCTCCACTCTCCTGGGCCTTCCCTGTAGCCAGTGGCCAGCCCACTGCCCCCTTAACTGCCCGCCATTCTCTACCCCCACGGTGGCTTCTTCAGGGGATGGGTAGAAATAATCATCCCCTCATTTCCAGTTAATAGGATATCATTAAAAAAAAAATAATTTCAGACATTAAAAAGAGCAATGCATCCCAAATACCTAGCCCTACTCAAAGGTCTGGAAAGTCTACCCTGTCCATTCGCTAAAAGCCGTTGAAGGTTCCTGCACATACACTCCCTCTGAGCTCTCATCAGGCTCAGATGGAGCTGATTTACTGAGGAAGCAGTCACTAGCTGGATCTCAAGGGAAGGGGACCAAACGCATAAGTTTTGATGGTAGAGAGGATGGTCTGAAGCCAGAGAAAAGTCCAGGGCCAGGCAAACCCCAAGAGGAATGCCACAGTGGAGGGCTGTCAGCAGCCCTCTGATGTCCCCAGGCCTCTGAGGGCAGGGACAGGGCACTGGAAGGGAGAGGGCAGTGGGAGGAGGCTGGTAGGGCCCCCCAACAAGCTCGAGCCACCTCACAATTGTCCCACGCTCTGGGTGGGGAGGTGAGGGAGGGAGGCACCTTCTTCCTCCCTTGCTTAGCCCCAAACCGCTTCTCATGGAGCCACATGGAGACCGTGCTCAGTGCTCAGCTTGCAGGCTCCTCCCCTCCGTTTCTCCAACACACCCTGCAGCATTTAGCTTGTCCTAGCCTGGAGCAGCCTGGGAGAGAAGACCAGCCTAGCTGAGGGGAGAGGAGAGGGTAGGCACGAGGGTGGTGGCACAGAGGAGGGCCTCCCACTGGAGAAACTGACCGAGGAGCGTGGTAGTGGGCGTGCGTGGTGGTAAGTGTGGGGTGGGAAGTGGCTCATCCCAAGCTGTGAGTGTAAATTAACCCTAAGGTGTATGTTGATCCAGCCCCTCAGGCAGGTCTCAAGGAGCCCTGCACATCCTGGGTTCTCGGAGCAAAGCCCTCCCAATTCACATCCGTCCTTCTCCCCAGGGATGACGCCTTCTCGGACAGCCTGAGCCAAAAGGCTGACGGCGAGGCCAGCGGTGGGCCACTGCTGGAATGACAAGGCCTCCTCCAAAAATGGCCTCCAGTCCCCCACGGAGCACATCTTGGAGTATGGCTTTGGGGGGGTGAAGGGCGGGTAGGAAATGCGGCTTCATTTTTTCCTGCTAGTGCCATGCCCTTCATGTCTGGTTTGGGAGCAGCGAGGGGGCAGGAGGGGGGGTGGCTGTTGTGTCCGCTTGTTCCGCACAGGTGTGGTATTGAGCACACTGGGGTGGGCAGGCTGGAAGTGACCCAGGAATGCCAGGTATAAAACCATCCAGCTTGGGGTCGCGGGTGGAGAAGGAGGAAGGGCATATATTGGCAAATCAGTGCTTTCTATTTAAAAAAATAATAATAAATGGAGAGAGTTACAAATTGGCGAGTATTTTTGCTACCTCTCTCCAGTTCTCGCACCTCCTCCACTTTCTGTTGAAGACCCAAGCTGTTATATTTCAGAACTTAGAGCCCACAGACTCCCTGATGCACTTCACAAACAGAAAACTCACACCCGCTCACGGGGCGTGGGAAACTGACACTCGACTCACCTCGCTATTTGGTGGGAGCACATGTGCCGATTTCTCCACTCCTGTGTGTGGCCTGGGCTGTGTCACATGACCTTTCTGCCGGGCAAGGAGCTGCGCTCCTCTTTCTGAATACAAGTGTAGTCCAAAGAATGTGGTTGCTGAAAAATAACAATAAAATAAGGAAAAGAGAAGAAAAGAAAAAAAGAAAGAAAAGCTGAGTTTCTCCCTGCTTTCTTACTCAGATTCCCAAAATGTCATATTCTCCGTTTTTTTCAGTGGAGAGGTCATGGGATCAACCCACACGTACGGGTCCTTGCAGATAGAGCCAAAGACATCAGTGGTGATGGAAACATACGCTTATGAAGTTATTTTAGCAGAAGTCCTGATGCCTCTTTTCACCGTATTCTGTTCAGTTCAGGGCACGGCCATAGATGACAGAATTGAGGGGAAAGTGGAAGGTTGGCTTAGGTAGATGACAAAGTCACGGTCCCTTGACTTCTGGGGGCCATATCTTTTCCTGCCTCGCTTTCCTCTCCCTCTTCCCGCCCTCATCTACCTTCTTCCTATTCTTCCTTTCTCAGTACCTCTTCCTCTCCAACACCTATGCTTTGGTCCTGATGGGGTACCCACAGGTGGGGCTTAGTTTGGCTGGGGCACTAGGATCTGAACCACTGCTGACCACATTAAGCTTGGTCCCCTGGTCACAGCCACTCGGTCCCTCCTCCCCACCCCCTCACGACTTCCAGCCTTCCCTCCCCTCACAGGTGCCTTAGAATCTTTGGTGACCTCCATAGGGTGTAGCAGAATCTCCTGTGGGTAGAACCTCTCGTCTTCAAAGTGTTTTCACACCCACTGAACCTCCCTCAAAGGTGGGCGAGGACCATTACACCCATTTAACAGATTAATAAAATGACTCTGATAGAGGACACAGGAAAGCCTGTGACAGAGACAGGACGAGGACTCACCCTCCTGATGGACACTCTAGTCCCCTTTTCACTCCACCAGAGGCTCCCTGAGGGGTGAAAGTGACCAACTGCACGGAAGGCATGTCCAATGATGCGATTTTTACTCTCGAATGACTAGTTTTCCAAGATCTGGAAAAGCCTCCTAGAAATAGCCCTCTGCTGGGGAGATTGGGGGTGGGGGACAACACTGGACTGTGTTCAGCGGCCACGGGGCCCCTCCTGCCCTTGCAGGGAGCTAGTAACTTTCTGGTACAGTCAAGCCTCAATGCTGCAGACCAGTCAGAAGCCCTTCAGAATCATGGAGATGTCTGAACTGCTTAAAAGCGTATCATGAGCCCAACTAACCACCGCCCAAGCGTTCCCAGGTTGAAATCCTCCTCACCTTGACTTAACATGTAGATAAGATTTGTTGTGTGATCAGCATCGCCATCTGCAGCCTGGAGGCAGAAAGCGCCTGATTCCTTCCTGCTCACAGATTCAACTGGCCCCTGCCGCTGAGCGGCGCCCTCGGCCAGTGCTTTCCTGGCAGAATTGCCGAGTCTGGCTGAATGAGGCTTTACTATACCCGCTCCCTAGGCTAGTGTGTAGTGCGTGGCCTGGGGGTTGGCTGACCCATTCTGAGACTTGCCAGGGTTGACCTCTGCCCCATGCCCCTGCCCCCTGGCTCCTTTGCAGAGTGCGGTTACGATCCGATGGAGCGGCCATCCCCAGGCGCCGAAGCGGGGGCGACACGCACAGCCCGCCCCGGGGCCTGGGCCCCAGCATAGACACGCCGCCCCGGGCTGCCGCCTGCCCCAGCAGCCCCCACAAAATTCCCCTCACCCGGGGGAGGATCGAGAGCCCCGAGAAGCGGAGGATGGCGACGTTCGGGAGCGCCGGCAGCATCAACTACGCTGACAAGAAGGCGCTCTCCGAAGGGCACTCGATGAGGTCGACGTGCGGCTCCACCAGGCACAGCAGCCTGGGGGACCACAAGTCCCTGGAAGCTGAGGCCCTGGCAGAAGTAAGGGCCAGCCCAGACCCCCAGAGGGGCAGTGGGGTGGGGAGCCACTTTGCCTTTCATGCCAGGCTCAAGGCTAAGCCAGAACACAAGAGGGGTAGTGAGCTGGCTTCCCGTCCCCCTGCCCCCCTCCCTTTGAGGAACGGAAGCTGGATGGGTGCAGCGGCTGGCTAGGGATCCTGTAAAGACTGAAAACCCCGCAGTCGCCAGGGCTGGAGGGGGCATTCCTGCCTACCGGGAGACAGATGATGCGGATGCGGTAATGGCAGGGGTCTCCACAAGATGGCACGATTGAGTTATTCATTCATTCATCTATTCATTCATTCATTCATTCATTGACAGATATTGATGGGCATCTGTTATGTGACAATCCCTGTGCTAGGCACTGAGGGTACAATGATGACCTAAAATGGACCCAGGCCCTGCCCAGGTGGAGCTCACAGTTTAGAGAAGAGAGAGTGGTCGACCAGTGACACACACAGCTGTGAAATGGCAGTTGGGTCGGGTGTCTAGGAGGAGTGGTACACAGGATTTTGAGAGTCTAAAATGTGGAGATTGCACGTAGGCAGGAAGAGACTTTCCTGGGGAGGATAGGACCTGACATCCAAAGGATGGATGGGACTAAACAGCTGAAGCTGGAAGGGAAGACTGTTCCAGGCTGTCCTAAAGTGCTTAGAGTTCTTTGTTTTCTAAAGTTTTAAAAATTTGAATGAGAAATCTGTGATTTTTACACTTGCCAAGCCAACCGACCAAATTTCTTTAACAAATTGTTATGAAGCAATTTGTTTGAATTGTTAATGCAATTAACAAACTTGTCAAATTGCATAACTGGTTTCATGTGTTTTTGACAGTTCTATCACATTTTCAAAAGTTTCCATTTTTTTCTTTCTGGAATTTGGGGTGGGGGCCCATTATGTACCCCCTCCCCAGTGTTATCTCCCACTTCAGGTAAAAGACACAACCAGAACATTCCTAGCTGTGAGGATTCTATTGTGGAGAGTGGCATTTGAATCCCTGGTCACAAGGGGAAGAAGAAAAGTTGTGAGCTTGGGGGCTGTGTTCTAGAGGAGGCCAGGAATGTCTCCAAGGGAATATCAACACAGGAGCAACTCCCCCAGCAATTACAGCTCCTGTTCACACCTGCAGGATCTGTCTTGGCCCATGTCCTGACGCCCACTCCCAAGGGATCCCTGAAGATCAGTGCCTTGGCATGGGTCCCAGCCAGGCAACCTGCTGGTCATTCCATTCTTGAAGGCCATCTTCTTGGGAAGCATCACCCTAGCATCTGCTATCACCTGCAAGCTCTCCCGTGGGCCATGATGGGGAGTGAGCTACCTGAGGCCTGGCCCAGAGCCCTTTACGTAAAGAATCAAATACAGTCCAGGCCAGTGTTTCCACAAGTAGTTCCCACAGCAGACTAGTTCCATGGGATGTTAATGGGGAAAAAATGAGTTGTGTGGTCAAGAAAGTTTTGGGAATGTTGGTCTGACAAAGTCGAATGGCTTGTCTGCAAGACGTTTAGAACCTTTAAATATATTGATGTGTATTGTGAATCTCCAAGAAAGAGGACAAGAGCACACCCCATCTCCCAGACTTCTTTGACCTTTATTCACAGAGCGTTTTGCAAGACCAGGCCAAAGAAAACACTTGGGGAATGCTGCATGCATTTTCCCTTCGCAAAGATACCTACAAACTGTCCAATTTGATAGCTGCCATTCAAGAGCTCCTTCACTGACAGAGGTGAAATGGGAAAGCATGGTTAACAACATGTAAATAGCCAAGGGGACACTGGACAGCCTCCAACCTGCTCAGCATCGGCTCTGATGAGCGCTTGACTTTGCAGACCTCCCAGGGGAACGGTGGCGTGGAGAATCCTGAGTAGGAGATGCAGTTACCGGAAATCCTTTGGTATCAAAATATCCTTTAGGATTGAGATTTGCACCCAGTTAAAGAGGCTGTTTCCAGCACCTGCAACACTGCCCTCTAGAGTGGGAAGATCTAATTTGGAAGGAGGTGAAAAGTGATCCATTCCCCATGCTGTCCATCCTCCCCGCAGCGTGCTGGAGGTTCCAGCATCACCTCTCAGACTAATGCAAGGTTCATGACTAAACTACTCAGCTGATCTTTCTCTGAGCTTTCTGTCTTTCTGACTTACACTCTGCCGGGGGGGCGGGGGGGGGCAATGGTGGTGGAGGGGTGAAAATTCCATTTTATTTATTAAATTTTTACCTTCCAGCTCACGCTGGAGTACAGTGGAGAGAGCAGTGATGTCAACAGGGGACTTCATTTAAGCAGAGTGGAGTGTGGAAAGCAGGCTTTCTCACTGCAGGGTTGCGATATAGCAAAGATGGGGAGAGGACTGCCATCTCTCCCGTCATGCAGAAAACCCCACACAGCTAGTCCTTTTGGATAAAGGCACAAAAGGCCCCTTCTCAAAGTAGCCAGTGTTATGGGGCAAAGGATAAGATGTCATGGGGAAGCATAAAAGCTAAGATTAGCCATTGGCTAATTATCATTAGTCTCTTAACAAAGCAAAAAGGATAGGTTGGGACTCTGACTGTGGCCAGATTGGAGCCTGTCGTGGGGGCCCAGGGCAGGCAGGAGACCTCCTGTAGACGGGGGAGGAGAGAAGGTGAAAGAGGACTTGGGTGCAGGCAGGGCAGCTCCAGATTCCAACGCCATCAGTCTGACCAGACTTTCAGTTTTTCCAGATTTGTCTCAGGGCAGAAAAGCAAGTGTGTCTTAATAGTCATCATTGTCAATGAGGTTGTGCACAGCACCTTCCAGCAGTGGTTTTAAGCAGTGTCCCTCATTGTCCCCTCAGTGGCCAAGCCTGTGGGCTCTGGCCCAGCTCAGCCTGAGCAGCCCCTCTTGCGTCTGTCTGACGTGGAGGCATCCCTGTAAAGCCCTGTGTGAACTGAGGACTCAGGGTAAAGGGAGTTTGGAAACCACTGTCTGGCAGTTTGCAAAGCTTCATCGTGTCCATCATCTCATTCCATCGTCACAGTAAACGTGCGGGCTTTCAACAGAGGAACAAAGTAAGGCACAGAGCGACTGAGACTTGCCCAAGTTCACACAGCCAGCAAGTGGCAGAGGGGTCTTGACACTCAAAACTCTGAGCCCTTTGCTGTAGCCAAGGGCTCCTGGGTTCAATGCTGACTCTAGCACCCCCGCCTGGCTTCAGGGGGAACAGAGGCCATGGGAAGCCGCCCAGAGGGAAGGATGAGCCCTAGGCTGACAGGGCAGCCCCTCTGCTCCTCTGAGGTCCTGGGCCTGCTGTAATCTCTCTCTGTGTCATTCCAAGTGCTCTCATACTGATGAGCTCTTAAATATTACAACATCCCTGGGGATTATGTAGGCAGATGAGGATTTTTGCTGCTTTTTAAAATTACCATTTTTTAAAAAACAAAGTTTTCTGATTATAATACAGAGACAAAAGTAACACTCCCATCATTCTGGGGTGAACATTGGGAAAATTCCAATATATAACCTCCAAATAATTTTGTTATGGGAAAGGACTTTTTAAAAAAATAATAATAGTTAGGGACATGAACTCTGGAGCCAGGCCACCTGGGTTGAGACTTGGGCTATGCTACTCACTAGCTGTGTGACCTTGGGCAAGTTACTTAACCAGTCTGAGCTTCCATTTCCTCATGTGTGAAATGAGCGTAATGGTAGTTCCTACTATGTAAGTGTGAGGATTAAATGAACTATCAGTGGGAAGGGGTTGAATTGGTGCTCGGTGTTAGCTACTATTGCCATCATCGTCATTATTATTTGTGAGTGCTTATTATGTGCCAGGTGCCATGCCAAGCTCTTCACAGGGACTGTATCACTTAATACACTCACCAACCCCCTGAGGTCAGTAGTATACTTATCTGTAATTTACAAATGAGGATTCTGAGGCTCAGAGAGCTGAGGTAACTTGCCCAAGGGTCACATAGAAAGAAAGTGGCAGAGCCAGGATTTGAACCCATGTCTGCCTGACTGCAGAGCCTGCCTTCTTAACCACTAGTCTAACCTGCCCTCATTAAGTCCGCTTCCTCTGCAGTGTGCAGGTGACACCCACATTGATTTTCCCGGTTTGTTATAAGACACCCAGGGGATTTAATCTCCCTCCCAGCCCTGAGGCTTGTGGAGAAAGGCCCCTAAGAAGCCCACAGCTGGTTAGCAGCTGAGGAAGGACTGGACCCCAGGCTCCAGCCTCGGTGCTGACCAGAGCTCTCTGTGCCCCCAGCACATTGAGAAGACCATGAGCACGGCTCTGCATGAGCTGCGGGAACTCGAGAGGCAGAACACAGTCAAGCAGGCGCCAGATGTGGTGCTGGACACCCTGGAGCCCCTGAAGAACCCGCCAGGCCCCATCAGCTCAGAGCCCGCCAGCCCCCTGCACACCATTGTCATCCGCGACCCCGACACCGCTATGTGCCGCAGCAGCAGCTCCTCCACTGAGATGACGATCACGTTCAAGCCAGCCCTGTCACCCGCCTGGCCGGCGCCCAGCTGCGCCTGCCCCCCACGTGGCCGGTGCAGCCCGTGGTCCAGCGTCAGTCCAGCAGCAGCAGCAGCTGGAGCGTGGGCAGCCCAGCTGGGACACCCACGGAGAAGAGGTTCCCCAACAGCTCAACCCACAAATCGGGCACCATGTGACCTGCAGGATGGGGCGGCACCGCCATGCGCTGTGGCACGCCATGGCCAAGGGTGGCCTCTGTGACCTCAGTGAACTTCCTTCCCTGTGCTCCAGGCCTTGTCAGGCAGGGACCAGAAGGCCAGCCTGGGAGCGTGTGTGTGCAGAGCTGAGGCCCGGCTCACATTCAGCCATGTGAATCCCACAGAGCTCGAGTGTAAACAGACGCCCAGAGGAGCGGAGGAGCAAGAGGCCCCAACCAGAACGTCGCCTAAGATTGTGGCAAAATGTTAAATGGCTTCGCCCACACATCATCACTGGAAAATTCTCTCGACATTCTCTCTACATACATAAATACGTGTGTATATATATGTGTGTGTGCATATATACACGTACGTATGTATGTATGTGTCTGTAGGTGTGTGTATATATATATTTATGCATCTATACACATATACTAGATCTGGACACACTTACTAAATGTATATGGGATCTCCTTTTTCTTTTTATGTAACTTAGATTTCCCTCAGACCCATGCCACCAAACATCTCCCGCTGAGTTATTTGGTGGGCTTTGCAGGGACTTTTCTGGGAGAATTTAGAGGCCCACAGTAACTGTGAATGAAGCAATATACCATAACCTGCAGAAAAACAAAAACAAAAACAGTCTCCCACTGTCTCCAGAAGTCGTGGCCTTCCAGGACAGTCTGCCCCTAAAGGAAGGGTGGGGCAGGCGGTACCCCAAGCAGGCTGCTCCTAGAGGGGAACCCTCCCACCGCCCCGTCCTCCCCAGAGACCCTGTCTTTCTACCCGGAGGCCAAGGGCCAACTGTACCCCCAAAGGCATGGGAGGACATTGGCGAGAAGACCCCTGACCACAGCATCCTTGTGTTTGTACGTGGAAAAAGGGGATAGTGACAACCTAAGCCCCATCCTAGCACAGTATTATGTGTGGTTGGGAAAAAGGAAAAAACAATGTCACTGCCAAATAGGGGTCCTCTACTCGCCACAAAGATAAGCCAACAGTCCAGAGGCAAGGTGGTAGGCGAGAAAGGATCTGTTTATTATAGCTTGCTAGCAAGGGGGAAGATGGCGGACTAGTGTCTGTAAAGAACCATCTTAAAACTACAAAATTGTGAAGCAGTTATGTAGGTCAAACGGGCTGAAAGAGGGGGGTCTCAGACTGTGACCATCTGGTGTTGTAGTCCTTGAGACGCTGGATCATCCCTTTTTCTTGTCACCAGTGATGGATGCCAGCATAGGGCTCCTTTCTGGAGGTTGCTACATTCCTGGGAAAACTTAAAGAACAAAGTTACTGTCTTATTGCAATAGGGAGGTCTATGTGCAGCTAAGGCTGAGGAAGTAGCAGAGCATACACACTGCTCACAAGCAGGTGCAGACTTATCCAGGCTACATACAAACTAAAGCATTGCTGACAAGCAAAGGGGGTGTCTTGTGGATCAGGGTCATTTATAGTTCCAACATGGTTCCCCTCTACAAGATGGCTTCCCTTATGCTAACTTATGCTAACCTTTGACTATATCTATCATAGCTATTTAGGCAGCGCTAACAACAACACAGTGGTGTGGAACACTTGAGAACCTAGAAACGCTGTAGGAATAAATCTGTGGTAACTATAGAGGTTTAACTTATACCATTTTCAAAATATTTAATTTTTTCTTTTCCTCTTTCTACTAATTATACTGTGTCAGATTTGGAACTAAACAGGCAAGGAGGCTTTGAGTCACATCATCTTAGTTTAAAATCAGGCCGTGACGCACTTGGCTGGCGCCCTCTTGCATGAAGCGCACGAGCCTTAAGTGCCCAGCTTAGGCCAGGGGCCCAGGAGGGGCGACCCTTGGCACTCCGTCCCAGAGAACATTTTGGTTGAGTTTATGCAAGTGAAATATCTTCCCTCTCTCCCTTCCCTTCCCTTTCACCAGCCTCCTCCAGAGCATTTAATGTAATTGAAAATATGATGATAGAATTAGGGTGCATGGTCTTCAAGTATTGTGAGCTAGGCTTTTGCCTCTTGGCTGGGAGAAGGCCTTCCAGAACTCTTGTTCGATTCCATTTTACTTCCTCTTTTGGTCTCTTCATTTTCCGGAGATGGGCTGTTTCTGGATAATGGAACACAGGCGAATCAGATTCTAATGGGACCACTTTCACTCACCCCCTCATGCCAAGCCAAGGGTTTCCTCCCTATTGTTCTCAAGCTTCATCTCTTTCTCTTGAGGCCTCTGAGTGTGTCTCCATGGCTGTGGTTTGGAGTCAAAAGTTCTGTGTCTGAATCCCAGCCCCCCGACTTAGGGCTGGGGGACTCAGGCCACGTCACTCCACCTCACTGAGCCTCAGTGTCCTGCTCCATAAAATGAAGGTAATAAAGATAAAATGTAAGTGAGCGAGCTGTGTAAACTGGAAAGCAGTGTGCCAACACTATTGTTCTTTTTACTATCATTAGTAAGGTAAGTCTTGTACATAAAAACCATCCAGGACCTTCCTTTTGAAATCTCCTAATGCATTTGAGAAGTGGGCAGTGGAATTTTCCTACCAGCTTCGTAAGAGCCCATCGTAAGAAGCCTGGCCCTACAGATACATCATCTATTGATGCTTGAAATTCCATCATTACCATTTCAACCCATTGGATTAAGTTTTGTCCTCTCCTCTGGTAGTCTGTAAAAAGGTAAACATACCCCAGAGGGAGGGACCTATTAAGTCACTAATACCTGGGTGTTTGGCAGTGGTGAGCCATTCTGCCTCCTCTAAAGGACTGGCATTGAGAGCACACAGTGGAAGGAAGGACCGAGAAAGGGCACAGAAAGAGAATGCCAGGGAGAGGCCAATGACAAACTTGACCTTCCTTGTTTCACCTAGAACCACCATTCTCCTTTAGCTCCTAGACATGAAAGAGCCTCAGAACTATCTGGATGTGTGGAAAGTTAGGAATAGAAAGACTGAGAGGAAGAACCATTACATTTGTCCTTGTGGTTCCATCAGCCGTGTACGTGCGCTGAGTGCCAAGTAAAGACCAGGTCCTAGGAAGTCCTCCGCATTCATGCCTCCTGAATGAGAAAGAAATATACCCAACAAGGCACTCCAAGGGACTCCAACAGAGAAGAAAGCCCCATGTAAAGGCCCTTCCCCACACTGGCTCCCCTTCGCATACCACAGTACAACACAGCCAGTTGTACGAGGGGCAGTGGTGTTTACCTACTTGTCCATCACCGTTACTGAAAGCTGTACTGATCAGTTCATTGATAACAGGCTTTTTTTTCCACTTCACAGGATGTTTTCTTTTCTTAACCTTCAACTTACCCTGAGGTCAATCCTCTTGTCTCTAGATGTAAACTGATGTTCAGTCTATTTTAGGAATGAACCAGCAAGATGTTCATTTGAAACTAACCAAAGACAATTCATTCCTGGTCTAGTTTCCTGGGCCTCAGCCAGGAAAAATCTTTTTGGGGTTCTCAATAATTTTTTAGAGTATAACCAGACCTGAGACAAATTTGAGAACCATTTCTATGCAGCAATAAAAATATATGGTAATTTCAGCATAGATTAATCCTACATATATAATGTTGGGCAAAAAATAGCAAGTGTATAAAGAAAAATAGTATAATTCCATTGCATAAAATTTGTAATTCTTATATTAATAATAAAAAATGAAAAAACATAAAAGGCAATTAATAGCAAAATAAAAAATTATGTATCGTCATTAATTTTAGAAAAATTATATCTCGTGAATGTGTTTTTTTCTTATTTTTAATTTTTCTTTCCTGGTTGAGTAAACAATGTCAATTGTAAATCACCTTTTTATATAATCAAACTTGTAACTATATACAATAAATTATTAGCAAAATAAGTAATAAATTATGGGCAAAAATAGGTATATACAAGTCTAAATTATTATATTTCCAGGTCAATTGAACATTTTGTCTTTATGAAGTGCCACGCTATTTCTAATAATGATTTGATCATAAACTTTATCTTATCTGACAGTAATAAATCTACAGCTTTCACTTATTATAATTAGGCTGGAACATCTTCTTTACCTCCAATCTTTTAGTATTCTTATTTTTTAAAATGTATCACATATAACCAGAATATACTTGGGTTATACTTTTATATACATAAAAGGTTATAATTTTATAGTCTGATTTTATAATCTTGATCTTTTTGTTTATAAATATGTTCTATATAAATGAACTATATATATAGTGAATATAATATAATGAACTGTAATATCCATACAGAAGATTACATAAATCAAAAGTGTACATACTGCTGAATTATCACTAATTAAACATATTTCAGATCAAGAAATAAAACATTGCAAGCAATGCTGAGTCTGTTTATGCTCCCTCTCATTCATTACTACCTCACTCCTCCCCTGACTTCTAACAGAACAAATTAATTTTGCATGTTTAAAAACTTTATATAAATTAAATCATATGAATTTGGCAATGTAGATGAAATTAACGAATTCTTTGAAAAACACAACAAAACAAAACAAACACAAAAAATAAAAAATCTGAATGATCCTTTAACTGTTCAAAAAATTAAATTCATAATAACTTTCCCACAAAGAAAAATCCAGGTCAAGATAGCTTTTCTGGAGAAATTCTATCAAACATTTATGGAAGAAATAATACTAATGTACACCATCTCTTCCAGAACATAGAGGAGGTAGAAATGCTTCCCTACTCTTTTTAGTGGGTCAGCATAACCTTGATAGCAAATTTTGACAAAGATATTACAAGAAAAAAAGTTACAGATCAATATCCCTCTTAAACATAAACACAAAAATCCTTAACAAAATATTAGGAAATAGAATCCAGTAGTATATAAGAATGTAATATCATGACCAACTAGCGCTTATCCCAGGAATCTAAGTTTGGTTTAACATTCAAAACTCAATATATATCATCACATTAATGAGATTAAAGAGGAAAATCATATAACTATCTCATTAAGACAGAAAAAGAATTTAAGAACATTCAGCACTCATTCATGATAACAGCTTTC